TATGAGCAAAAAATAGTAAGATTTTGTTCATAATTTTAAAATTCTTCAATAATTTTTCAAAATCTATGCCTTCCCCCTCAAAGCCCTCCAAATACGTTTGTGCCACCGTTTTTTCCAATTCTCGGAACAGCTGCCAAATCAATTATCGGGATCAATGCGCGAGCGATTCATGTTTAGTGGGTTTGAGTTTGCTAAATAGCCATAAGTCACACGGAGCTAAATCAGGCAAATACGGTGGATGCGGCACGATATTGTTTGAAACTCACGAAGAATCAAAGCAGTATGCGACGGTGCATTATCGTGGTGCAAACCACAAGAGTTGTCGTCCCATAATATCGGCTTCATTTTACGAATAGCTTCGCCAAACGGCGCAAGACTTTCAAATAGTAGTCATTGTTGACAGTTTGTACGGTCGGAAGGAATTCGGAACTCGATAATCGAAGAAAACTATCAAGTTACCTTGATTTTTGACCTGCTTTGACGAGGATTTTGCGACTTCGGCTCACCTTTGCCTCGATATTCGGCCGATTGATAGTCCGTTTCCGGGTCGAACGTTTCATGACTTCCATCCCGGTAGTCGGCATTGCTTCATAGATGTTCGAAAAAATTTAGTGATTTTGGAACCAATCGTGCAACATTCTGAACGTTTCGGCGCCCAAAATTTAATGAAACTTCTTTGTTGAATAATTTCACTAATCGTACTTCAGAAAGACAAACGTATACTAAACACTAATGATTATTTCTTTGATATTATATTTGGCACAGATTCCGAGCGAAATTTAAATTAAATAATCTTACTATTTTTTGCAAACAGAAGTATTTTTTTACGGCTTTGCACATCGTAATTCCAAAGAAATGGAAAGAACCTCACATAATAATATCATTGTCACAACCACAAAAGCAAGTAACAATACTTATTATCGAGAATATTTCATTTCGATCGCTTACAGAAATCCATTTAATCGACCATTCCTACTGATGTGAAAGGGCACATATCAATCTCATTGTCAATGTATTTGAAACACAACTAATGATAATATAAGTACAAAGAAATAAATATACTTAATAAACATGTTTATATTCCTAATGAGAAATTTTAAGCATGAATTTTCTTTACAATTTAATATACATTATTCTTATTTATTCTTGTTCCTTACTAACAACAGTCAAAACACACACACATAGATGGCGTTACTAGTATTTTGCCACATGATTTTTATTTAGTACTGACTGACCTGAATTCTTCTGTTATTGCATTTTGTGTGACGCAACGTTTGGTTGGCTGTCGCGTGAGCTAGCAGTCGACGAAAAACAGTAACGAATTGAAGCTATCTCCAAAAAGGAACCACCATCAACGGTGACTATTCCTTTAATCTTTTGGATAAATTGTTTCTCACTTATACTACGAACTTATTGGTTGACTTGTTTATCATAAGCATTTTCGTATAATAATAAATATATCATTATAAAGTTGAAATAACTTTATCCGCTTTCACGATAGTCATGCCTACATGACCAAAACATACCCTGATTTTTATCCGACCAAGACTGATGATTTGACATCATTATTGTTTGAGAAATTTTTTTGTCGCTTGCCCTATAACATGAATAACTTTATATGGAACTCAAAAACTATAAGAAATTTGTGGTCAAATTTCAGAATTTTTAGAACACATACAAAATAATATTTCTCATTTAAAATATTTACAAAGACCCGAACCAAACAATTTTATAATATCCCATTATGTATGYATGTGTGCTCATACATACAGTTTAGATTGCAATTTCCTCAAGAATTCCTGTGGTATGAAATCTTTCAGAATAGTATTTTCACCAGTTTACAACATGGGTTCAATGTCAATCACAGTTTTGTCTTATTCTTACGTTCTTTCACGGGGTTTTTTGAAAAAAAAAACGTTACAAAAAAGAGACAAAACTTTGAATTTCGTACGTATGATTTATTTATTCCTATTGCGACAACTATGCATAAGCAAATCAAGTATTTTTTTGAATTAAGAAAATAACAGAGAAACAGGAAGGGCTTAGTACGGTTATAACCGAGCATTTCAAACTCTTACAACTTGCAATGCTCAAAGCCGCGAAAATTCTTTTCCAATTTCAGTAGTATATCTGACAGGTTAACCGACATTTTTGCTAAAAAGTTCACAATGGGAACTGGGGTCCACATATTCGGTTTCTGAGACTTTCTATAGCCTTCGAAGGCACTATTGGTGCAAATTTTTATCCGGACTGATTGAGTCTTGATTTGTATACTTGAAAGTCAAAGAATAGTGGGGAATAAATTGTGTACACGTGGTTGTAGTCCAATTTTGCTATTCACACGGTAATGTAGGAATATCAGGGTACTCTTGACTACCGAATTTGGTTGAAATCGGTCGAGTAGTTCCCGAGATACTGGTTTTCATCCAAATTTTACACCTGCTCCTATAAAGCCTTTTAGATTTAGGATATATACATCAAACCTATTCAGGGGCGGGCCACACCCATTTTTTAAATATTTTCTAACCAAAAATTACCATCGTTAATGGGATTATTTTTTCCTAATTACAGTTTCATATCTTAATTCAAGGCTAAGTTATGACAAAATAGAGGTTCGCGATTAATGGGCGTGGCAGTGATCCGATTACGCCCATCTATAAAACCAAGCGTCTTATGATGCCAAGGCATATGTGTACCAAGTTAGTAATCAAGATATCTTCAAAGTTGATCATTTAAATATATAGAAGGTGCTTTCCAAAGTAAACAGGACTTTAGAAAAAAAACAGAACAAATGGTTTTTTTCGGTAAAGTCAATTTATTTTATTCAAAATAGTTTCCTTCAGCTTTAATACAGCTTTTTGCAAGGTCCAAAAGCATGTCGAACGAGTATTTTAGTTCGTTGGCCGGTATGGCCGTTAGTACGCCAGTGCAAGAGTTTTGAATGGCCTCTACGTCTGCATTACGCTTTCCCTTTATGGGCAAATGCATTTTTCCGAAAATAAAGTAGTCGCACGGCGTCATATCACGTGAATACGCTTTGTGGTTAATGGTTAAAATGTGATTTTTGGTCAAATAATCGGTCACAAACATCGATCGATGAGACGGCGCATTATCGTGCAACATACGCCAACTTGAATCTTCGCGATATTCGGGCCGAACACGTCGAATACAGCGCACCAAACACTTCAAAACTCCAAGGTAGAATACCGCATTAACGTTTTGGCCGGGTGGAACAAATTCTTTGTGGGCTAAACCCTTGGAATCATAAAAACAATCAGCATTGTCTTCACTTTTGACTTCTCTATGCGCGAATTTTTAGGTCTCGGCTCGTCCGCTGCCGGTAGATTCAAAAGGTCCTGTTTACTTTGGAACTCTGTCTAGATTAGTTTTAGGTGAACAAAATAATTATACTCTGTAACATGCTATTAGAGAGTTTGATTATTTCCATTTCTCGAAACTACAACGCTATGTTTACATGCAAATGAAGAAGTTACCTTAAGCTTAAATTACATTCGTCACTTGAAGCGCTTATGTAAAGTATTTAGTAAGAGTTTGTTATTTCAAAATTGTAGTAGCGATTTTGTGGCGGTGGTTAACAAAGGAGTTAGCCAAGCATGTTGGACCCCAGTTACTTATATTATATTTATACTCAATGAGAGTTTATAGAGTGCTTCAGTTTGAATCCATTTAAAACATAAATGGAATTAAATAAAGAAATTATTGCCATTTTTTTGTTTCCTTCACACCTACCCATTAAAGTAGATTGTAGTGTATGTATGTATTTTTTTTTTTCTAAAGCATCTCAATTATTTAACATTTTGTGTTGTAATTCAACACAAAGTGTTAATAATTGTGAACATAACATACCCTCTTGACTTTTGCCCCAAAGCATAATGTTGGATTTCTTTAAAAACATCAATTTCTACTCTAGCAACACTGCCCTCGTCATACCTTCTAGCGGTAAATTGTTGTTACTCTGTTACTCATCACTAGCAAAACAAATATAATAAATATCTTTCTTTTTCTGCATGAAATAAAAGCTGCAATATTGCAGCAGACTATCAGCTTAGCATCAGCAACAGAGTATCAATAATAGGCAATAGGCTTGCAGCATTGGTGCGATGAGACCAAATAAAAATTTGCCAATCTTGGCTTCTTCAATGTAATGGCACCTGCATAATATAAAAAATGTAAAGTGTTTAGACGATTTAACTGTACATGTTTTATTTCTCCTTCTCCCTATTTCCTGCCTCCCTCTTTCGTAAAACAAGATTCGTTACAAACGAAAGCATATTTTTTGTTTTTTTTATAGTTCTGAATTTAAACCGATTTCATTGATGTATCTACATATCTGCAAAAAAGTTGTTTCACAACAAATCAAACACGAATAAAAAACTCAACTCGATATTCACAAATTTTAATATTTTATTTAATCTTAGCTATTCGGATTGTTTCTGCTTATACCTTCAGATTTCACAAATTAGTGTCCAGCAAGCAAATAAAATATATAACATTTTTTTTTTAATCTGTGTATCAATTACGCCTATTGTGTTAAATTGTAAATGTATTTTTTTTTTTATTATTAAATAAAAATTAAATCATTTCACTTGAATAATTACGCCAAGTAGTCGTCACCATTGTGAATGCTGATATAAATATCCTACCTATACTCATAACATTAATGCTATGCGTAAATACTCTACGATTCTCTGTGTGCATGCGACCAAATATTGAATGACTGAAATTATGATTTATACGTTCTCACATTCACTAAACAATCTAAAATTCAAAAATGTATCAGGGTTACAACACTCTTCCATAAAAATATCGTTTGCGAACAAATAATACCAAAAAAACATATAATGTTAAACTACAAATACGTTAACTGCGCGTTAATAAGCAATGTTATGTGAAAAAAAGATTAAAATTATACTATTATACTAGGAAACAGAATATAACTTTGTAATTTATGATCAGTTAGAGATACGGATATCACTTACCTGATCTGAACTAGGCGACCGGCTTTGCTCTTCCTTACTTTCAATTTTCTTTGGACTTTTAGGATTTCTGGAGTAAGGATCATTAGCGCCATACAGGTCAGGGCACGCCACACTCAACAAACAAATTTTTTGTACAATGTCAATAACAACAAGCCCATATTCAGTTCCATATGCCATACTGAAATTAAGTAAACATATATACCTATTACAATCAGTACTTATTTTATAGCTTATTATATTATTTAGTATTGGACCAAACCATTTTATTTAGGTAAATTGAGTCATGATTTGAAAAGTTATTTTTTAGTTACTCTTTAAATTTTAAACTCGATATACTATTGCATCGGTCAAACTTTTATAAAAGTAGTCAAAATTTGATCTTCGAAAAAAGAAATTTTATAAAGTACAAGCTTAGTTTATGAAATATTTGTCTTCTTCCGCTAACGCGGTCATAGCTGAATTCCTTTCGTAATGTGGCGCAATTAGAGATTCCAAATCAAGCCAGTTCCTTCTCCATCTGGTCTTTCCAACGGAGTGGAAGGCTTTTTCTTCCTCTGTTTACCCCGGAGTATACTGTGTCGAATACTTTCAGAGGTGGATTGTTTTCGTCTATTCGAACGACATGACCTAGCCAGCGTAGTCGCTGCATTTTATTTCGCTGAACTATGTCAATGTCGTCGAATGAGATATTCGCCGTGGCCAACGCGCAAAGGACTTAAAAAAACAGAACAAATGGTTTTTTCGGCAAAATCATTTTTTATTCAAAATGCGTCTGCATAACGCTTTCCTTTCATAGACAAATGCATTTATCGGAAAAGGAAAAAGTCGCACGGTGCCTTATCAGGTGAATACGGGGAGTGATCACCGGTTAATGGTTAAAATTTGTCAAATAATCGTCCTCCGAATGTTGGATTATGAGCAATTTTTGATCGTCAGTCAATTTGTGCGGAACAAACCGTGCACAAACCTTCCGTAAGCACGAATGTCCAGATAAAATGTGACAAATCGATATTTTGCAGATGTTCAATTCCATTTCCATGAATTTCAATGATGATTTTTAATGAATTCACCCACAGTTTCGATGGAATTCCCGTTGATCACACATTTTGATTGGCCCACATGTTGATGGTCCTTTATGGCCGCACGACCACTTTGAAAACGTCAAAACCACTCGTGCACTCTGCTACGGGATAGGCAATCGCTATAAACTTGTTTCATCAATTGAAACGTTTTACCAATTTTAAAACAAAATTTAATGTTGGTTCTCGAACAAACCTCATTTTCGCACCGATAACACAAACATGCTGACACTTAAAACGCAATAACTTCACTTCCAATCAATGAAATGTCATGAAATTCTCACTGGACAATCGATAAAGATAGCAGATTCTAACGAATCGGTCGTCATATAGATGGCGCCAAAGGGGGGGGTACTACATTCAAAAAGTCCTGTTTTCTTTGGAACACACCTTGTATGAATATCCATGTGTAAATTTATAATTTAAATATGTATAAAGACCATAATAAAGTGAATCAAAACAAAAAATTTAATAATATTTTATTCAGAAACAATAAATATGACAGGAAAAACCAAAAACAGTAAAACAACAAACACATGCGAAAGTTTTAGCACATGAAAAATTTAATTAGCTCTGCTCTCATATCGCTCTCAATTTTTTGCTACTGCTTCATCTACGGAGAGCACAGCATTTCATTTTTGGCAATTGCTACTGCTGCAGTTTTTCACCTGACAAAACTCGAAGCAGAGCACAGAGAGCGGTAGCAATAGCATAGCTATAATTCTATAAATTTCGCAGACGGAGTAGTAAATGAAGTACAATTCCTTGAATTCTTATTCGTTTTCGCCCTTATTCGTATATGATATTTTTAAGGAATTATATATGCAGTTTATTTTATTAGTATTTAATGCATAATATTGCCACACCAACGCGACTTGTGTTGTAAAATGGTATTACGGCACAATTCCGATTTCTTTGGTGCCGCGATCTGAAGGTACCGTTGGAAAGAGGAAGTCCTCCTGCTTAGTTTAGGAGATATTCGACCTTAAAGTTCAAAAATTCGCAAAATTCGTGCATTTCAAGACGCTATTTCACCACATTAAACACACTTTATTCACATTTTTCACTTCAAATTAATTAAATTACACTATAAACTTGTAAATAATTCCATGTCTTACACTTTTAGCAGGTTTTTTACCTAAAAAATCTGCATTTTAAAAATTACATTTTACACTCGT